GTCTCTTGCATTCTGGTTAAATTCACTCTTGGTTCTAAGGACGCTTATGATCTTTTCATTTGTGAATACAGACGATTTTACTTCTTCTGTTCCACGCTTCAGGGCTTTTATTACTTTTTCTTGCTTTATTGCACAAGCTAAGATCTTTAATCCACTGTTAAATAGATGTGATGAGAGTGGACAGCCCTGTCTTGTTCCCAATCTTATGGGAAAAACATCTAGTCTTTCACCATGAAGTACGGTATTAGCTGTAGGTAGTTTATATACTTTTCTCAGGTTGAGGGATCTTTCCTTCTATTCCTATTTTGCTGAGAATTTTAAAAAATTGTTTAATTTTGTCAAATGCTTTTCCTACATTGACTGAGATGATCATATTGTTTCATAGCTTTCTCCCTTGATCTGGTATTTGATGAATGACATTAATTCATTCATGTCCAGCCATTCTTGCATTTTGGGGAAAATACCACGTGGTCTTGATGCATTATGCTTTTCAGGCACTGCTAGATTCACTGGCTAATAATTCATTAAAAAATTTCATGTCCGTGCTCCTGAAGAATTTGCTCTGTGATCTCATCTCCTTTTTTTTGACATGTCCTTTTCTTTGCCAGACTCAGGAAAATGAGTTGGGAAGGGTTCCCTCTCCTGTTTTCTGAATGACTGTGTATGGGATTCATATAATTTCTTCCTTAAATATTTTATAGAACTCATCAGGAAAAGATTCTGGGCCCAGGGTTTTCTCAGTAGGAAGGTGCTTTTTGTTTGTCTGTGTTAAGGATCTCAATTTATAGAACTACTCAAGATTCCTGTCTCTTCCTCTGTAAGAGTTGGTAATCTATGTTTTCGAAGGAATTTAACCATTTCCTTGAATTGCCCGTTATGTGCATAAAAGTTTCTCACTATTTCTCTGTGACTTTTTGTTTTGAAAGATTCTTCAGAAAAGCCGTAAAAATCGTCCGGCACTCGTGTATATCTGTCACCATTCATTCAAAACTATGAAACTGCCAACCTTCCTTGGGTTCTACCAGTTAACCCACTAATGTCCTTTTTCTGTACCAGGGGGACGTCCCAGGGTGCCACGTTCAATGTCGTGTTCCATGAGTCTGATGATTCCTCTGTCTTTAATTGCATCTCACGACTTTGATACTTGAGAATTCTGGTTAGTAATTCTGAAGACGTCCCTCAAGTGGGGTTTGTCTGATGTGTTCTCATGATTAGATTAGAACCATGCATTTTTGCAAGACTGCAACAGAAAGGATGCGGTGTCCTCGGAGCTCCTCCTATGCGCAGATCCCTTGTTTCTGTATCCTGACCCAGAATTCCAACAGGATTAGGAGTTGTGGGGATCCCTTACAGCCTGCCATCATCTTCCACTCCCAACAGTTGGCAAAGTGTCCCCCTTCTACTGGCCCTGTCTCCACACAGAAGGCCAGGCGGTTGGGGGCTTACCTCATGTGTTCCCCTCTGGACCCCCGTCCCACATTGTCGGTTGTCCCATGTGAAAATAGCTGTGTGTCCAGTGTCTAGCTGTTTACAGGCTGTGGGGTAGCCTGGGCCACCTGCCCCTGCCCACAGCACTGCAGAGGGGCAGCACAGTTCAGTACGCAGAAGCCCTGAGGATGGGGACCACACTGACCCCATGTCAGGCACCTGGGAGGAGCAGGCCTTCTGCAGCCAACTGTGTGGCTTTCTTTCCTTCTCCTTGGGCACCTTCACTGCAAAGCTCTGGGGAGCCCTTTGAGCCCACCCGTCTTTTGGGGCCTTCGAACCACTGCCAGACGACAGAAGCACAGCAATTTATGAGTGTTCAGAACCGTCATCCTCTAAGTGGATTCTGTGGCACCGGTTCTGACCTAGTAGCAGATGATCAGGGGATGGACACAGAGGCTTCGTCCATGGTCAGTTTAATGTCACCAGGTCTGCTGTGGTGTCTCACCCCTCACAGAGGGAGGGACATGTTGCTGCTGGCACTCTTTTTTTTGTCAAGTCAACTCTACTTTCTGCTTTCCACTGAAGGAAGATTAATAATATCCAACATACAGACTAAATCAAGTAATTATACCTTTTAGTGTACCTGATAATTTCTTATCCAGCTGGTGCTAACAGTCAATCAAAATGCCATAAAAAGTGCGTTAGAAGGTGCTAATGATCCACTGCACTCTGTCAGGCGTGGGGGGGTTTGTTCAACTCTTGACAGCGCAAACCTTGCACAGAACCGCCTGACAGCTCCGCCACCCAGAGCTCCATGCCCCAGCTGCCCCTCGCTTTATGTGTCCCACCAAACGAAACTGCCGTCCCAGTTTCGTTTGGTGGAGCCCCAAACAAAGTCCTCTGAAATACAGCTTTATCCTTTTTAAAGCCTGCAGAGGATAGAACCCAAAATCGAGTCCTAGATAGACAAGGAACCGATGCCTGCAAAGAATATCTGTGTGGTGGCTACAGAGAACTAATAATCTTAATATTTCATGACAAGGAACCATGAAAACAACTACATTTCTCATAAAATGAGAAAATGAATTTAGAGAAAGCGTCACACTTTATGGTGGAATCTGGACACACAATCACCCCAACACAGCATTTCCCAGTATCCATAGTTACTTACACCTGCAGAGGCTGGGAACTTTGCCAGCCACACCAGCTCCAAATGGGGTGCTTGCTAGGCTTCCACACACCCCTCTGCCCCTCTGCCCCTCTGGCTGGCACTGCCGCAGCCCCTGGGGGCCTGTTCACCACCCACACAACTGGACATGGCTGGTCGCACCGGGCCTGGGCCCTGGGACTGCTGTCCCCCATGAAGCTTGTCCCTCAGCATTCGGCTGCTTCCAGTGGCCCTGGGGCCCCCAGCCACCTGGCCACAGGCGCGGCAGTGAACCAAACCACAGACGGTCATCGTGCCAGGGTGAACGATGCTTCGAAATCCAAGAGGGAATCTGAAGTATATGCAAATGGGCTCCTGACAGTAACAGAAGGAACCAGGAAGGTGCATGCCCTTAAAATGCTGGTCCCACTCGGGGATGGCACGTCATCCCTTCACAGAGCAGATGTCGTCCGTCACTAGTTAAGAGCTAGGACTGGTCAATTCCTACATACGGATGCGAAAGTTGGACAGTGAGAAAGGTTGATAGGAACAGAAGATTCATTTGAAATAAGGTGTTGGAGGAGAGTTTTACGGATACCCTGGACCACTAGAAAGACAAACGAGTCCTAGAGCAAATTAAGCCAGAAACTTCGCTGCAGGCAAAACTGACAAAGCTGAAGCTGTCATTTGGGCACATCGTGAGAAGACAAGGCTCTTTGGAAAGGACAATAACATCTGGAAAAATAGAAGGCAGCTGGGAAAGAGGGAGACCAAATGCAGGATAGGTTGACTCCAGAAAAGAAGCCATGGGCAGGAGAGTGCAGGAGCTGCGCAGGGCCCCGCAGCGTCCCTCATTCACTGGGTCACCAGGAGGAAGAGGTGACTTGTGGGCACCTAATAACTGGTCAGGATGCAAGGGCGATGGAGCACAAGACAGATACAGGGAAGGAGGGCATCACATTAACGCCAGCTCCAGGGGTGTGAAAGCGCCGTGCTGAGTAGGGGGCGTGCAGGAGTGCATGCTCATAGACAAGACACGTGTACATTGAACACTCGAGGAATGGAACGGCCGCACAACTTCACAGGACCTCACCATGAAATACTAATTACACTGGAAAATGGGGACTTTGAGAGAGGACCAGCCAGGCCTGCCTGAGTCATTGATGGGACAGATGGATGCTGACCCCAGGAAGAGAGGGCAGGGCCTCCTGCCAGGGGTGCAGAACCTGAGGCTGGTCAGGGGCCCATCAGACAGCTGCAGTGTCGGGTCACAGGGCAGGAGAGACCACGGACCACCTGGACTGGAGGGGACCTGAGCGAGCCAGTCCGATGGATGGAGTTGCTTGCTCTCGGTCAGGTCAGGAACAAGTTCTCTGCCCTGTCCCCCACCAATTCTGCAAGTTTGTGATACTTGGTGTATCTATATGACAAGGTTTCTGATGGAAGCAAACTTAATATTTTATAATGATTTTAATAAAAATATTAAGATCTTATTTACAAAAGGCGAGAAGGGGAAGAGAGAGTGAAGGAAAGCCACCAAATCCTCTGTCCACAGCCGGAAGTCAAAAGAGACCACGTCACTACTGATTTTAAGGCTCAGGTAAGGGCTCTGAAAAACTTAGAGGGGGACTGTGAAATCAAAAGCAGGATGTGGAGTGGCCAGGTGGCTTAGTTGGTTAAAGTGCAAGCTCTTAACAACAAGGTTGCCAGTTCGATTCCCACTTGGGATGGTGGACTGCACCCCCCGCAACTAGATTGAAAACGGTGACTGGACTTGGAGCTGATGGGCCCTGGAAAAAACACACTGTTACCCAATAAAAAAATAAAATAAAAAAAGCAGGCGGTGCACTTCCAAAGGCTCTGTAGAAGAAAGAAGCTGAGGAATCCTCATCTTCAGGCCCCAGCAACAGAGCCTAAGAGGAGGGGAACACAGGTGAGCTGCACCGGTGCCGGGAAGAGCGCAGACCACACAGCTGCCACCGACAGGTCACACTGGGGTAAAGAGAACAGCTGAACACACTCCCCGAGCCCAATAAGCATGGCGTCCAAAAAGATGAACAGGCAGAAAGACAGAAATGGGGCCTTTCTGTGTGGCTTTCTCTGGGTGAGAATGACAGGTAGCATCGTGTCCTTCGTTACTGATTTAAAATGATATGAAAGGTTTCAGACATTCCAGAGACCACCAGAAGCGCCGGTGAAAAAGAGGCACCGAGAGGCTCCTCCCCACGAGTCTCCATGTGAACAGGTGTGGTTGTTGCCCACAGAAAATGGTCACGTAAAGGGCCAGAGGAGCCAGTGAAGCTTCCAGGGCTAAAGAGGCAGAAGGGGCCCAGCTGGCCCGGCCCAGCTGACGGGAGGACAGCGAGGCAGTGACTCATTTTTAGGACATTTCCCTCCAAATATTGCAACTAAAAGTTGTACTTACCGCTCCGAGCATGATTCTGAAAATCAGCCACCGAAATCCCCACAGAACGATCCGGGACGTGGGGGTCTCCCTGGGCAGTTGAGACAGAGTCCAAAGAGGGCACAGGAAAATTCCCAGGAACCCCGTTTCCAGCAGCTGGGACTCCCATCCTGAAATGGTAACAGTAAGAGAAAAAAGGGTCACATTAACCAGCTGGACATTCTCAGCAGAGAACTCCGAGGCCACCAGTGTGTACCCTGCCCCCATCAGGAGATGATTCTAGAAGTAGAAAGAAGCCCGGGCCGTGCTGGGATATGAGGCGGGCAGCTGGAACCACCTGGGTCCTGAGCTGTCAGCTGACAGAAGAGGGAAGCACAGAGTCGCAGGGCGCTCCGGCCATGACCAGGAAGGGCAGGAAGGGGAGACGGCAGTTGCCCCCCTTCTGGGGGCGTGGATGCAGAGCACAGCCCAGCCCCTCCAAGGCCCACCTGCACTGGGCACTCCCCCCCAACTTCCCTCGGAGACTCAGGAGAGAAAAAGGCAGAAAGCATCTACACTAGTTCTGTGAGATTTTAGATGTAGACCAATTGCTTACTTCAGGTCAAGGATTTCCTTCTTGGTGGTGGTTTCAGAAGACCTTTCCTTTCCAACTTGCTTCAAACTCCCTTTCTCTCAGCTAAGAATGGACTTTGTTCCGTATGTGACAGTTTCTCTAGTTTTATCTCTAGAATTTTCATTACATTGGACTCACTTAATTTGGGGTGCATTTTATAACACATGGGATTTTGATGGGCAGAACACAGAAGTGGCAGCAGTCACGGCTTCGAGGGTACTGATCTATGGACATGTCTCCTTGTTGAGAGAGCCCCCAAAGAACACCTGTTCTGATCCCTCCTCTCCTGGGTGATGAGAAAACTCAGGAACCGAGAGGCCCGTGCCCCTGGCAGTCTCATGAGCAGAGCAGGTGGCTCTGCGGGTTCGGGGCCGAGAGAAGACCAGGTTAGAATGCTGCCCAGGACTCCCGGAGGAGCCGACGCAGCGCTGCAGGTGTGGGGCCTGCGCTCTGTTCCATGGCGCAAAGCCTGCCTCACTCGCGCTCCCAAAAACCTCTCGTCAACTCCGAGATCCCACGTGGGCGAGCAGAGCCTTCCCCAGGCGCCGGGAGTGCCTTCGCTCATTGTCACCTCACTTTGCACAGATGTGATGAACGGAATTTTAATACGCAGTTTGAGTGACACCAATCAAAGTGATATGCAAATGGCAGAGCCCAGAGACTGCCTAAGTGCCAGGAAGCAGGTGACGGGGGAGTCAAGGGATGGGACAGGCTGTCACCTTAGGGACGTGCGTGTATTGGCAGGTCACCTGGCCCTCCTGCCTCTTAGACCTACTGAAACATTCCTTAGCCTGCTGGGGTGCACGGGAAAGTGGACGCCTTGGGCAGAGGTGTGCGGGCTTCCTACTGTGGAACCCTTTCCACCCCCACCCGCCCCCCATCTCACTGGAGCTGCCGTATTGCTGGCCGATGGCCCTCTGGACATAAGCGCTCGCTGATACCGCCGGGGAGGAAAGGGTCGCCTGCAGACCCACCTGCTTCTGCTTTCTTCGCTTGGATCTGGTCGAATTTCAGCAGCTGTGCTGTCTGCACAAGGAACACCATTGTTCTCTGCTTCAGTGTGGTGGGGAGGCGTCCCCAGAAAAACAAATGCCCAGTGCGCTGCCAGGGTGGCTTCCCGAGCCTGAGAGGCCGTCCGTGAGCCTGCGGATGGCACAGTGCACGCTGAAGACGTGCTCAGGACCAGGCAAAAGCTGACCTGAATGCAGTCAGCAGGCTCTGCTGGTTGCCACTCAGTTATAGCCCTGCTCATGGGTGCCAGTGCCTCTCAGCTGGTGCTCAGAGCCTTTTGGGAGGTGGGGTGAGGGGTGGTCAAGATATCTGGTCCTTTTACTCAGCGTGCAAACACCTACTTAATAGTCTCACTTCCACGGTGGCCCTGGGAGGGTCCGTCCCACTGGCTGTGTCTCGGGCACGGTGCTGGCATGGCAGTACCTCCAGTGGCTTTGGGGGTGACGGTTGTTCACAGACACCCACAAGGAAGCCATGGAGCGTGAGCTACACCAGCCTGTTTTTGGAACTATCACTTCAATGGCTGCTGGCTCATTTAAAAAAACAGACCAGCCCCAAACGAGCCACACTAGGGAAGTTTCTGCATAAAACTGAAGAAAAAATGCCTCCAGTTGTGAGACTGAGGAATCGGGCACCCAGCAGCGGACACTTGGCGACAGTGGCCATTGGGGCAAAGTGTCCGGGCAGCTCCCTGTGCTGCATTTGCCCTTTTCTAAGGACCAGCGGGCCCACTGTCTCCAGGGTGTCCTCAGACAGGCAATGGGGGCAGGGAAGCCAGAGTCACCTCGCCTGACCCTGACAGGACAGTGACCCTTGATGCAGGAATGACCACAGCTCAGGACCAGCTGTCGTCTATGGCCTCCAGGTCTGAGGGTGGCCACAGCCCCTTGCCTTGTGGTCAGTGCCTTGCAGGTTAAGACCAGCTGTGGCCGTGTAGACTCAAGTGGTCAGAACAGGTGGACACTCTCCTCCCGGTTTGCATGTTTAAATAAAACTCCTTGGAACTGGGCACAGGACACATGGCTCGTGTCTGCAGGGCAGCTGGATGTGCGATCTGAGGAAAGACCCCATAAAACATGCTGAATTTAGACCCTCGGCCTCCTGGCCCAACTTTGGACCTGCGGGGTCCCAGCTTGGGGCACCTGCTGCCCAAATAAAACCAACCAAGTAATGGTGCTGATGCCTCTTCTCTCTCTACTTAGGGGCAAGTGAAGAGTGAAGATATTTTTCTATTGAAGATCCAGAAAGTTCACCAAGAGGCCTGACCTGTGCCTGGCAACTTGCAGCACCGGCGAGTGGACGGTGGACAGCATGGCTCCCTCAAGATGGAGAGCGCGGTGGGGGCACCGTCCCGACTGCTCCTCATGGGGGAGAATTTTTTTTTAATAGATTTTATTGGGCAATTGGGGGAGGGGAACAGCGTTGGGGAATTGGGGAAGGGGGACAGACAAGTTGCTCTCCTTTTTGTTCTTCAGTCTAGTTGTGGAAGACGTCGCTTCACTGGCCCATGTTGGTATTGTGATCATTGCGTTCTTCCCGGGTGAGGCAGATCAGTCGCACCATTGGACGGCCACTCACAGCGGCTCACGGTAGCTCATGGCAGCCCACTGCAGCCTACGCCATCGCCGGCCACTCATGACAGCCTAGCTCCAGATCCTGCTGTTCACCATCTTAGCTGTAGAGGGCGCAGTGTCACTGGCCCTCATGTGGTATCTGAACCGGGGCCCTGCTGCTTAGAGCTGGCATCCAAAGCCAACTCTTAACCAACGCGCCACTCGGCCGGCCTGCAGGGAAGATTCTTGATGACCTACTGCTCTGGAGGGAAAGTAGAGATGAGGAAGCCAGCAGACATGCTCCAGCTGACAAGGGGGCCGGGCTGCTGGCTGGAGGGCTCCAGGGGTCACCCAGAGTCAAGGTCAACACAGACTGAGCCACCTCTGACCCAGGAGGGAAACAGTGTCTAAAACAACGTTTCAGAGGGAGGTGGGAGCCACCCAGATGGCCTCTAAAAAAACCCCAAAAGCCAACTGAGCCCTCGTTACCTTCTTCAAAACTATTATAGTTACTTAGAAAGAGTAATTAAATTTCGCATGTATGGATCCTTCAGAAATGACAGCCACCATCCATGTTAGAAGTAGGAACCCATTAGCTTCACGTTAAAATCAGGGGAAATGGAGAAAAGCACTCCCCTCCTGACGGGCTGTCACTCCTGTGCCAAGCCCCCCACCCTCGGCCGCCCGGGGCTTCTAATGACACCCTGGAGACCACTTGAGCTCTTAAAAGTTATTTTCTTGATCTTTATGGGCTGTGTGCTAGGATGGAAAGTTCTGGAGTGGCACACCACATCTTGTCTGCAGTCGCTGACATGGCAAGATGGGCCTTGGGGATAAGGAAGCGCTCTGACACAGACATGGGCGACCCTGCCCCCCACAGGTGTGGCATGGCACCTTGCTTTGTCACAGAGCACCAGACCCTGTACAAATGCAGAGCCCACTGGACGGGAGGTAGGGCTCAGGAGAGCCGATGCATGAGACGTGCACATCGACGGGTGGGTGCCAGCAGCTGGAGCACAATGCGTTGGCCTGTCCTTGGTACCCTCTGTGCTGGCGGATGGTTCTGGGCCCTGCTCACACCTCCGCCCTGCCTCACAGTGGACATGTTTTGAGGTCCAACGGGCCAGCACTGGCTCCTGGGGAGGGCTGGGCAGGGGAGCCCAGGCAGCACGTGGTACGCAAGGTGGTGGGATGAGGTGGGCTGCTTGGACCTCACTCATTGTGACACCAGGTGCTGTTCACTCTGATCCCTGGGTCCCCCCTCAGCCGACTGCAAACAGACTCTGCAGACGATAAGCTAAAGAGGGCCTCCTGGGTCTGTGCCCGAAATATAGGGCCTGGCTTCTTGCACTGTGCCATTAGGAGGGAGGCAGGTGCCAGCCCCGAGTCCCAAGGAATGTCACAGCCTTGTCTGTGGTCATGAACGTATGGCCTCTGGGCCCCACTTCTCCTGTGTCTGACTCTGGGGAAAGTAACTTCGGTGATAACGTCTGCAGGGTGCACGCTTCAAAGATATGGGCTCTGATCTCGGCCTGTCCTTGGGAAGTCCTGCGGGCTCCCAGCAGCACATGAAGTCATGGAAGATCAAGGGAAGAGCCTTTCTTCCCAGGTGGCCCAGGGTTCAGGCTGTGCCTTCACTAATCCTGACCACACCTGAGTGGTTTCTGCTACTCTGTGCTCTCCCGCAACATGGCTGTTCCGCAAAGCCTCACTTTAGAGTTTTAAATTCTGCTGCTCAGCATGTGTGATAAAGTGCCCGTTAAGGAAAGCAGTGCATTTTGAAAGCAGACCAGGGGTCAAGTGCAGGTGCCCGGCCTGCAGCCTGGCACATAGAAGCGGTTAACCCCGCACTGGATCAGGCCCAGAGCAGCCTCTCGCAGAGGCCAGCTGGGGCCCTAACTCCACTGGTGTGGAGCCCTGCATTAGTGAGGAAGGGACACTTCTATTGCGGTGTGTCTGTCTGAGAGCTGGGTCTGGGGTGGCAGTCAGGGGC